TTAAAGCTGGATCCGCCCCTGTGCGAGTATGAGTTGCATCTTCAAAAAAACCTCACCAGTTTCAAACAACTTAAAGTTTAAAACTTAAACAGCACGACCTTGTCATATTTCCCGATATACGAAAACCTCTTAGGAGAGGACTTTTACTTTTTAGCCACATTTATGTGGAAATCGCTGCGGCCTTGCATAATTCAATAACGATGCAAAATACAATAAATTGATTACGACACATACGGTAAATTATAGGCTATAAGCAATGCCTAGTTGTGCAGAACGGTCCGGACCTGCTAAGAAAGCGTTATTATAAATTTTCCATTACTCCCACAAGCTGGCACTAAGCAAGAGAACACCCTATAAATTATTTCAGTCGGGGAACGGTTCGACATCGGTGACCTCTTTTTGCGATCAACGAATTCGTCTTTCAGTCATCGACAGGTCGATTTTCTTGTCCCAGCAGGCAAGTGAGGAGTTTTCGATTTTTTCGAGTTGCTCAAATTCATCAAAACTACCCCTAGCAAATGTTCGCTAAACAGAAAAATCACCCATTAACAGCCGTCCAGCTCGGAAACACCCAACTGACCGGAAAATGACCAAAAAAACCCCCCAAACAAACACGACAAAGAGATGGGTGTTCGGCCTGCCTGCCTGCCTGCTATCGTGCTAACACTTAACTCCAGGTTTAACCCAATGTTTATACAACAGATTATTTTTCTTTATAGAGTTTACGTTTCAAGCCCCGGCATGTTTGTAATAAGTAGAAGGTTTCGGTCGGAACCTCCCCGCCGCCTCGGTTTTTGAGATGTTTACTTTAATATTTGTTTTTCTTTCATGATGATTCGGGCGGCGGAGAAAGAGGGAGAGCGGAGACCTTAAATTAGATCGGGGACCAAGATACCGGCGGTTTTTGTTTAAAATTGAAAAATGAAAAGACAAACAATTAACGTGCCAGGGAGAAAATGTCGCCGCAATGTTTACCAGACAATTGAACGTCGAAATTTTGTTTATTCATATCAGAGCTGCTGAGTCAACGAGTATTGAACATTTTCACGTGCATAAAGAACTTCATTAAGAAGTAGGAACATTCCTATGGGCTTATTATGGGACTCCCATACGAAAAGGCAAAAAAAGAATGTCTGTCACTCCTGAAATGTGATACAAAAATATTTATGGCTTTTTAAGCAGGCGCCTCCGGTTAAATTTATGGGCATTTCTTGTGCGACGGCTTGACACTCGCCGAATATCAAAGTTGAAAAAGTTCTCAGATATATTTTTAAAGCTGCCGGACTGACACTGAACTTTTACACCCAGTTTTGTTCCGTAATGGGCAAAGAAATGCGCTTGGGTTGCGAAAATGTTCCTTTTTTCTTCGCGTTTCGCAGTGATTAACGATCCATCCAGGACGTGTGTCTGTCGGACGTTTAGCGTATTGTTGATAGTTTGCATCTAAAACTATATGGAAAAATATGTTTTTTCTAACATGTTTTCAACATTTTCAGACCTGCCTGCTGCTAGACCTTTAACCTCCCCCCAACACGATGCCCTTCTGAGGTAAATACGCAACTGTCCAAAACTAGTTAGTGAGTGATTCAACTTCTATCGGCATATCTTCTAAAAGCTTCCACATTCCCATCATCGACACACACTCATTATCATCACCGCATTTCCAAATAGCCGTTTAAAAAGATATATTTTCAATCGATAAGAATGACATATTAATGGCGTATTAAATGACTAATTTCCAAAACCATAAAGGCTTAAAGTGGACGGTTTATCAACATCAATTATAGACAAAGAAATGCGGAAACATTATTAAACTGATTCTTCTTTCTCCCTTGGCGCAGCTTTCAAAGTCCCTTATTTGCGGCTTAATGAGTTTCAAATGAAACTTTCAAACTTATTTAATCGACGTTCCTTGGGGTTTAATTGTGAATTTCGCCAGTTAACTGATTTCTATTGGAAGTGTTTCAATGAGTAATCTGCAATTATTGCTTAAAGATGCATTTATTTTCAAATTAGTAGAGACGGAAGGCTTGCATTGCATGGTTAGAGAGCCGTTTTGTTCTATACAACCGACACGCTTTCTTTTGCTGACTTCCTCAATGTTTTTTAGGTAATTTTGAAACTTTTTTGCCCTCAAACCGGAAAAGCTATAAATTCCCGCCTAGGCATGGCGCTTTTCAATAATTTTTTGATAAATTTTGCAATGGTTTTTATACACAATTAATTGCGCCGAAACCGGGAAAGCTGAAATCACGCCGATTCTCAGATTGAAAGCAGAAGGGTCGATTCTATGACACTTGAAAGTTTCGCTTTGATGGCATCATCAGGGATTTTTCCTCACATTTTCAAAGTTGGGCGATTATCATTAAAASYGCTTGGAARTSRTTCCATAAAAAATAATTATGACCAAACTGAAACAGCTCGAAATCCCCGGGTTTGTAGGCTGAAAGCAGTAAAGTCCATTCAATGACTCCTAAAAGTTTCGATCGCATGGCATCTTCAGGGATTTTTTGACGAATTTTCAAAGTTGAGCGCTTTTCATTAGGAGCGTTTGCAATAGACGGTCTGCAATGGTTTTTATACACAATTAATTGCGCCAAAACGGGCAAGTTGAAAACTGGCCGATTTTCAGATTGAAAATAGAGTGTCGATAATATGACATTTGAAAGTTTCGCGTTGCTGGCATCATCAGGGATTTTTCCTCACATTTTCAAAGTTGGGCGATTATCATTAAAACTGCTTGGAAATCATTCCATGAAAAATAATTATAACCAAACTGAAACAGCTCGCTAAACGTTTCGATCGGAGGACATCTTCAGGGATGTTTTAACAAAATTTGGCAAACATTGGAAGAAAACCATTGATATGTTCTTCGGAAAGCTTTGTAAAAACGCAACATATGCAAAAAATAACAAATTTTGTAAATATAGTAAGATAGTGCAAATCTCAAGGTTTGCCAACCTCAGGCACCCCCAGGACCGGTTTTGAGCCCATTTGAGCCTGAAATTAGCAACCCTTTTGTCCTTGTCCCTCCCTATGTGTTCGCATTGGGTGCTTTAAGGGCAGGTTGCGCGATCCTCTTACTATCTTACTTTATTTGCATAATTTTATTGCTTTCTTGCATAATTTCGGATTCGGCCATTAACTGCCGACTAAATTCATGTGTTTGGAAATAAATATGAAACATATGCGACAAATACCCCAGCACGATCGACTACTTCCATATACTACTGGCAAAGACATAATTAGGCACAAAAACCCAGCGCGTTCACATTCCTTCCAATATTCTTCTATTCTTCACCTCCGGCCGGTATTTAATTGAAAAACTAAATAAATATTCATTCGTCCCTCGTACACCATAAAATATAATAAGCAAGGTCCTTCTGGCTTGGCGATAGAAAAAAAGGAGACACAACGAGAACATGCCATTAAAAAAAGGATGGAACACGTATAGGAAGAACCCGAGGAACAGTTGTATAGGTACCATGCGACGGTGCCAGGTGATCGAAAGTATGCCAAAAAGCCGGGAAGTTTTAGTTGATTCGCCCTTTTTCTTACGTTTCCGCCAATATCAACTACTGGTCTAAATTGGGCTAATGGCGATAGCTTTCTGCGTTGAATTAGGGAGATTTTGGTTGGAAAACTATCCAGTTTTCGACATGAAAATGCCCGCTGGCAACAGGGCAGCCCATGCCCACAGAAATATTCAAAACCGACCCATCTTGCCTCCATAGATAGAAAGTTAATAGCATTTCTGGGCTGCTCGGTTGCCGCATTGTTCACTAATTACAAATCTGTCGGGAATTGCATCTCAATTCCCTTCAGTGAGGCTTGGAAATGGGCCTTTTTCAAAATCTACTAAACCCATTTTATTGCCACATAAAATGCGCACTGATGGCGATATTATGTCCAGGTGCATTAAGAGAGCGTTTTTTTTATTCGCACTTAAGTCTCCATTATGGGATGGAAAATTGATTGGCAACGTTGCTGGGCTGTGTGCCCAAAGACGAGATCGGTGAACTTGCGGGGCACCCGTTTCAATGTTGCCCGATGTATGGTCATTTTCGTTAAATTCCGGAAATTGACCGCTCACCATTTACGTGCTGTTTTAGCTTGCTAAACAGTAAAACGGCATCAAAATAACGCGAGCAGAGATGGGGAATATTAAGCGTTTCGTTTTGAGGCTGTCATCAGGGATTTTTGCATCCTTTTGAAACCCTTTCAGGGTTTGTTTGGGATTTTCAATAGTCTGCAATTTTCGATAAAAACTGATTTCTTTGATGTTGAAAGAAATACTTTAAACCGCAGTTTTAAAATAATTGGGCTGCTTTCAAAGTTAAAAACACTTAACTATATTTAAGCTTCAGATCGCTTTCGCGTCTGGAGCTTGAATTAATTGGCTTTGTAATGCGTGTGAATTTTGGGGAAAAGCTCGATTAGAGCTGGCAACGCCAGCGGACGAGCCGATCATTTTCATTCTGCTTTTCAGTCGAGCTTTCAGCAAAGCTCTGAGGTGATCGTGAGCTGAGCCTCCGTGTTTTCACACGGAAAGCCGAAAACTCGCGTAAAAAAGTGCATTTTGCCCACTTCCCAACCAAATGCGGTAGTTTCGCCTGTTTTTGTTCGGCTTTTAGTTGCAATAAACTGGGCACAAGTGCTTCCACAGCCCGTCCAAATGTTCATCTTCGGCAGCAGATCTTGGAATCGAAGAGTTGCTTCGTCTTAGATTTGACGGCGATTTGTTCAATGTTGCATTGGAACAGTGGAAGATAAAACAATTGGGAACAATTGTGCCTTTAATGCCGCAGCGAATGCGCTCTAATTGATAATTATTGTTTATCGGTGAAATTGGGATTTCGGATTAAAGTGAGTGCAGATGTGTTTGTTGTCAGTGTGGCCCATGTGGAGTAAAACGGATATTATTCGGGCATGTTGCAAAGTAAGTGCAAACGTTACTTCATCCCCCGAAATGTTGCCGATTTTTCCTAATCCGAACCGCTTTTGTGCCTTTGTGTGCTTTAGAGCCCTCGGCTTAGACCGTCTGCTACCAGTTGTGACTTGGGAGATTTTTGACCCATTTTCCAACAGTTTTTCCAAGATAAGTCTACAGGTTTTGCCCCTGGATCGATACAGACCTTTTCTTCGGATCTAGAGTAGTTTGCCTTTTATTCTCTAAGGGTTCTCCAGCTGAAGGCATGTAAACCTCGCTAGTCTCTGAGGGAGTAGACGTAAGAGTCTGCAGTAAAATTATGGAAACTGTCTCCCGAAAAGTGACTGACTTTTGGAACATTTGCAAAGCGATTTTGCTTCGAGAGTTGGGAACTTGCGGATTTTTGCGTTGATGGGGCAAAACTCAGATCAATAAACCTCGACGGTTTCACTTTTAAGTCATCCTCTTGTCTGTTTTGGAGCACCCGGGGGCTCTTTGGATTCTTCAAAATAGGAGCTTGGGAATTTGCTCAATTTCTATGAGGGCTTCCCACTCGAACTCTCTTCACATTTTCGGGCAAAGAAGCATTTCAAATGCTTCAGCTGCAACAAGTTTGAATGGAATGCACAATTCGTTTACGGAAAATTGGAAATTTATGTGCAAAAAATCCCTTTAAATCGCCGATTTCTTCGTCAAACCTGCATCCTGCCACTCGTGCTTTTTATGTCGCAACAAAGAGCCGCGTTTTTTCCGTGGCAAAATTAGCCGCTCAATTACAAGCATCAGGCGCTGATTAAAAACGCTTTTAAATCAGATTAAACAATGTTCATTGCGGTGTCAAAGATCACCGACAAATTCTGTGAGAAAAACTGCGGTATTGTTTGGGGCGGAATTTTGCGACAAATTCGTTCCGGTTGAGCCCGCGTCTGATGATCTGGTATGTGGTAAAAGTGAGGCGAAAAACGCAAAAAAGCCATTAAGGAYCGCCTTTTGTTGGGGAACATTTCTTTGATGATGGGTATCATACGTGTGGGGCGAAGTAGTTGTCTTCCATCTAAACAATACTTTATTAATTTGATKAACAAGACCAKGTTTTTGCYCACCATTGTCTCAGTTTCAGTTAAAAGTTCAAGTATCGGTTAACAAGCAATTTCCAAATTCGACTTGCTTATTATTGAAGTACCTAAAGTTATTCATTGCGCCATCAATTATTCGAGATTCTATTTTCCGTCACCAAATTGGCTTTTCACACAATTAAATTTTTTCGGTTTCCTCGTCGGCTTAAAACCACTTTTGCCTAATTTTTTGCACGCCTTAATTCGGCTTGAATCAACTCGATTTTAATAGCTTTTACACCGACAACTTTTTGCCATTTTACCGTTAAATTAATTTAGAAGTTAGGCGGTAAAGTACATTACATACAAACTAACTGGGAGTTTGTTTTTCGTTTTTGCTTTTTTTTTTCTGCAAATGAAGATAAGTTGGTAATTAAGCTAACGAACTAACGATGTGGGTCAGAGCGTGGGTCTTCGGAGATTTACCTTTCGATTGAGGTACTCGGTACATATAAGGGCACTTAGTCGAACTCGCTGATAAGCGTTAACAGTTAAGTAAGTTAATGTTATAGTTAACTCGACATTGGACGAGCCATCAAATTAAGGTGTAACTTTGGCGCTTTGGAGATCTGCTTTTGAACCTTCCACTATTCCGTTAAAATTTATGTGTAATTACACTAATTTCACTTGAAAAACGGGGGCTTTATTAATGCCACACTGTGTACTTCATTCAAACATCATCATTTAAAAACCCGCAATTGTTTAACGTATTTATAACTACTTGAATTCACAGTTTTCTTTGAGAATGGAAGAACTAACTTGCGTGTTTGACAGAAAAAACTGTAAATGCTGAAAGTTTCATTTTGAAACCTTTCTCAGGGAGTGTAGGGGAATTTTCCAAAGTTGAACTCTCGCAAAGCGCGATTACAGAGAACCGTTTGTGACCAATTTGTGTGGAAAATATATTTCTTGGAAACGGGAGAAGTTGGAAACTTGAAGATGTTGGCAGTTAATGAACGAGACTCCCATGTGTAAATGCTGAAAGTTTCATTTTGAAACCGTGCTCAAGGACTTGAGGAGAATTTTTAAAGTTGAACTTTCTGGCTAAGAGCGGTTACAGCTTTCTTTGAAACAAATAAACATGTTTCTTTGAAAAAATCATGCTTTTGATAGGCAAAACTCAGCTCTGTAAATCCGTAAAACTTCACTTTCAAGTAATTTTCAAGAAGGTGAGGAGAATTTTCCAAACTTGAAAATCGTGAGAGGGTGAGAGATGAAAGAAAACAACCAACTCATTCAATTACTTTTTATTTTATTGACCCAAACACTTTATAAGTGCATATTTGTAATAGTCTTAT